GAGCCAAAGTGGGGAAGGAGGCGAGGGCTACGAAGGAGAGAGAGTGGGGAGGAGAGAGAGTGGGGAGGGGGTTGTAGGGGCAAAAACCGTGGTTGGGAGAGAGCGACTGAGGCGAGAAAGAGGAGAAGGGAGGGGGGGCAATTCGGAAGGTGAAGACGCTATGGATATTGTGACAACGTGTGTGGGGGATGTACGGGGCAGGGCAATAGTTGTGCACGAGTTGCGCCATCGTTGGAGAGAGGAGAAGGGATTGGATTACCGGTTCAGTCTCCGGGTTAAGGAATCAACGGTGCATCATTATCGTGTGACGGCGGATGGCGAACCAGCTTTAGAGTTGTGCGTGGGATTGGGGTATGATGGGGATGAATTCCTGTGTGAGGTCACTGTATTCGTGAAGAAGACGCACAAGGATGTGCCTGATTCTGTTTCAGGTACTGGTGTTGATGTGGTTGTAGAGATGGTGGAACTAGTGACCAACGATTTGTTACAGGAGCACGCCGGGCGTCAAGTGAATTTCGTGGAGTGGGAGGCCATAATGGAGCCTCCATTGCAAGAGCGCAAGAGTATGCGCAGTGTACTACGCATCAGAGACGTTTATCAGCGGTGATTTTCTAGGATGCGGCAGCGTTTTGCTAGGTAGTCATTTCTGGTGGTCCCAAAGCTTTAGGGGGATTGACGGTATGGTTCCACGTACTTGTGCAAAGGGGTGTTGTAAGCTGGTATGGGCGTTTGATGGCGTCTAAGCATTTAACTATTCGTGGTAAAGCCCGGGCGAAAGACAGTAGTGGGTCATCTGTCTTCTAGGGGGGTACTGTAGTAGATGCAGTTGTGCATCTTGGTTTTAACAAGGAATCGCAGAAAACCATACTTGGAGAGGGGGGTTGTGTAGTAGATGCAGTTGTGCATCTTGGTTTTAACAAGTATAGTAATAACACCATACCTGTTTACGTATACGATGCGTATTTTCTAAAAGTTTGTGCGGCTACTGTCATTCCCATGAACCTGGAGAGAGGTCCAATGGATGGATACCTGTTACGTTCTGGCGTTCTCTTTATGTGTGTTAGTTTTGTTTGAGTGTGAGAATTGTCAGTGACTACGATTTTTGGTTCTCGGACATTTGTACAGAGGGAAGATACAGTGTTTTGGAGTTGATTCCAAAAGTTGGTTTTCAGACATTTGTAACAAGTTTTTTTTGGGGGGAGAAGATTCAGTGTCTTGATTCCAAATGTTTGGACTAGATCTATCCCTGTATCTCTTTGTTTGATAAAACGTATTACCACCGTGTATTGTGCGAGCTATATACAGATCGTGAAGAATGTAGAAAAATGTATACTAATCAAGGCGTTACTATTATGAAAATAGAGAAGTTTGAAAATACTGGGTAAACTAGTGAAAGAAATAAAAATATTTATAAAGATTAGGGTGTCTTTCATAAGCCATGTAAGAGTTGTTTCTGCAGAGGGTATCGTTACGGGCAGGGCAAAAGAGTGCTCAATCAGTCTAGATCGTTTTTTTAGTGTTTATGCGGTGGGGAGGGCAGACCAGCTTAGGGCAAAAAAGTCGTAGCAGGTAAGCATTCACAATCCAGGTGCTTATCATTGGATAACAGCCAATGCTCATCTCAAAAAAGGAATTCGTCATTCTTTTGAATTTTCCAGATCGTGGAGGAATATTTTGAGCGATGGTGCTGGGACCTGATTATCACAAGGCATTATTGTTTATCGAGTTTAGTATTGCCTGAACATGAGGGTTCGTATAGCGTTTAAACAAGCGTAAACCTCCAGATCTACATCTCAATACTCATTTAAAAAAACAACGATTATCAAGGGCATTATTGTTAGTTAGTTTAGTATTATTTGAACCTGTGAGTTCGTTTAGTATTTAAACAAGCACACCCCTCCAGAGCTACGGTTCGAAAAGCAACGATTCGGAAGCTACTACACATCTAACAAAGCAAATATAAATCTAAAAAAGGCAACCAATACACATCTCAACAGGGAGATCGTCATTCTTTTGAATTTTACACGATCGCGACAGAATGCTTTAAGCGGTTCGTCATTCTTTGGGTTTCCAATACATATCTCAAAAGGCAAATCGTCCTCCGCAAAAACAACAAATCGTTATTCTTTGTATTTCCCAGATCTCGGAGGAATATTTTAAGCGATGGAACTGGGAACCGATTATCAAGGGCATTATTGTTAGTTAGTTTAGTATTGTGAGTTCGTTTAGTGTTTAAACAAGCGTACCCCTCCAGAGCTACGGGTCGGAAAGCAATGGTTTGGAAGCTACTACACATCTAACAAGGCAAATATAAATCTAAAAAAAGACAACCAATACACATCTCACCAAGGAGATCGTCATTCTTTTGATTTTTACAAGATCGTGAAATAATATTTTAAGCGGTTCGTCATTCTTTGAATTTCCAATACACATCTCAAAAGGCAAAACGTCCTTCGCAAAAACAACAAATCATTATTCTTTGTATTTCCCAGATCGCGGAGGAATAATTTCAGCGATGGAACTGGGGCACGATTAAAAACATTATTGTTAGCGAGGTTTGTATTGAATTTCCAGAATTGAGAAGGAATATTTTACATGATGGAACTGTGACCCAATTATCAAGCAGCAAATCTCTAAAGCATTATTGTTGGTAAGTTTAGTATTGCTTGAACCTAAGGGTTTGTTTAGCGTTTAAACAAGCGTAAGCCTCCAGGACTTCGGACTAGCAGACGCGTCCTCCTACATAGGCTATCTATCAGAGGAGTTGGTAGTTACGTACGTGACGAAAGAGGTTATATATATTTATATTTATGAGAAAAAATAGTTGCCGGCGTAATAGGTTTTGGCATGATTGATCTCATTTTATGCAGAGCTTTTGGGTTGTATTTAGTTGTAGCATGTTAGCTGTTTATAAGTAAAACCGTCGTAAGTTAAGGCACTTGGAAGGGTAGATTTGTTGTTGCGTAAGGAGCTAAGTGGGGCTGACTTTTGCCAGCTCAAGATATTAGTGCAGGGGCAGTAGGTATTCGTGAAAACGATGGCAAAAAAACCGGGGTGGGGGATGTAGCATCGTCTATTACAGCGTGGGGAAGGGGTGAGTGATTAACAACAAGACAGAGAAAGCCTAGTTACAAGGAGTTTAACTATGGGATGCCTCAGGATCTGATCAACTTCCATGCCACTTTTCGCTAGAGAGGCAGGTGAGGAGGATTATTATATTGGGTGAGGCCGGGGTACTTTAAGCCGGTTTTTATCCTAGATTGTAGAGGTGTGGGCGAGGGGGAGGGGGGTGAGGCGGAGGGGGCGAAGCGGGTAGGAGTCGGTCAGTAGAAAATGTAGTTGAGATATTCTGTTGTGATTGCATGTAGTACAGTTCTAATTAATATGTGTATAGGAGAAGGATGTGTCTTTTATGTATCCACTAGGTGCTATGAATTAGTTATGTGATGTGGTAGGAATAGATGGTGGTTCTATATATGAGGACAAAAGGGAAGGGAAAAAAACGGGGGCTGTCATTAGATATCGTGGGATTACTTGAATCATTAACATTTGTGCGCAACGTTCAGAGATACTCAGTAATCCACAGGGAAAAAAAATATATATATATATATATATACATAAAGGCAGATGTTACTTAGCATAAGAAAAACAAACCATTGCCGATAGTGTCGTCAACAGTATCCCGATCAGTCCATTCATAAGCATAATTATAAAATTAAAATATTAAAAAATTCCAACATGTTTTAGTGTTTTCTGTCAGTTTAATAGAAAAGCGGCGAATATCCTTGTCTCATAGTTAGATTTTATGTAAGCCGAGCTTCCGGAGAAGAAATTCGATGTCGCTGGATGTATTGTTGTCTTATGATCGCTTTTTAAAAAAAAATCATAGATTGATAAAGCGTTATCGCGTGTTACGGATCATGCAGGATAGTATGTAGAGTAGTATATATGAGAAAAAAACAACAACAAGATGCGTTTTCAAAACTCCTGTTCTAAAACAGCAGGGAAGTGGGCTCGTTTTTCATGAAAGCCACGTGGCATGTGAGGTAGCGGGTCGGCAGAGGATGGACGGTTAGGGGAAATGCAAGGAGGCACGGTATTATAGCGTATCTATGTAAGGTATGTGTACAGAATTGCATGTGTATAGGCTGCGCATATATTTATTGTATATGCGGTAGGTATTTTGTAAGTTAATGTTGTATCGAAGAGAATAAAAAGCAATGTCGTGCATACATTATGCTTGGAAAACATAGGGGAGAGGGGAAGATAGGGGGAGGGGGGAGGGGGAAGAAGGTACGCAAGCATTAGCAGGATGTATCGCTATGTAAGGAGGGGGAGTTAGCATGAGCCATGTCCAACAGGTCAGCTGGGGAGTCTACCCCGAACCTAGCGACTGGATCAACGATCCGGTTATGTATGTGGGGGGGGTTGTATATGCAACACGGCCATCCCACGTGGCGTGGGAAACCTGTGGTGAGGCTCACCAAGATCCCATTAGCAGTTAGCCTGCATGTATAATCTGCAGAGTGACCCGATAATCATCCAATGATATTAGTTAAGCAGGGAATGAAGGGGGAAAAAAAGGGGGGGTGATTTGTTAAGGAGCATTAAGGTATTAGTAATTAGTGATAGTAGGTTAGGTGCTAGGAGAGGGACAAGTCCCAATCGTAGGGGGGGTGCACGCCCTTAAGCGCGCTTTTCGCTGCATAGCACCCATAGCAGCTCATCAGAGGGATTAGTATTAGCTCTAATCAACAGTAAAGGGGGAGGGGGGCATTTCGGGAGGGTAGGGAAGCGAGGGACAAAAGTGGGGAGGGGGGGCATGGGGCAGGACGAAGTTAGGATTCCATACCTGAGGGGTCAA